CCGCCATATCAGTAGTAGCTGCCATCAAGCGACCTTCTTGGGTAGGCGTCATGAGAGACACATCATGCACTGCAACAAATAAATCCGGTCTTGATGAAATAGCATACGCGAGGATATTGGCTTGCCAAGAGAACGTCGAAGGTATCCATACAAGTACTTGAGGAATGAGATCCGCCATGGCACCGATAAAAACATTTGCTCTGAAGATCCACCGATAAAGAGACGACTTGCAGGTAGCTGATTTCCAAAACCATGGAAACGGTATCCTTGACAACCACAGCTATAAGATAGAGATCGCTTGCTTGCGTCTGAGACACCCACCCAAATTCAAATGTTGATCTTCGTCTTCCAATTCAATAGGATTCGCCATTGACAACTGTAAGGAGAGACTTTGATGGCACCAACGAGCATGCGAAATTACAGCTTGATGGAATCATGGGCCTATAAAACTGCATATCACTAATTTATCTTTGAGGTAATGGTAACAATACTTAGCCAGTGTATGAGAATCCACGATTTTTGATGCCCCCCCCAGTAATCAGAACACATTTCCTTGCTGTAGAGATGTCGACACAGTGACCAATTCTGATAGCCGTTTCTCCAAGCGATAATTGATGATGAATGCGTTTAGAGATGGATAAACCTTGGCAGCCCCAAAAGGACACGTAACATTGCTGTTTGTTGCTGATGTGATACATCCATAAGATACGTGCGGTGAAGAAGGCTCTTGAAATCAATTTGCCAATAACGAGAACCACCAGAGGATCAAGTAAATGTTGTTGATACTAAAGATGTGGGCTCTGTTGCTCATTGCTGCTTCTTGCTTGTAGCTGATATGATCCGCCGATAACAGGCATGCGTAGCAGGATATCCATTGAAAGGGTTGTCAACAACTAGGACCACAATAAGACGAGATAAAACTTGGCGACACCAAAAGGTATAGAACTTGTTGCCTTCCCGCTGCAGATGCAAATAAAAGGAAGTGTTCAATAGGTGGTACAGTAATGAAAACCATCGAGCGATGTAATAAGGCAAGCTGATACTGAAGGATGCTGTCGACGTTGCTCTTTGACCCTGACATGATTCACCTATAAAAGATGCACGGTAAACAGTTTCCCGAATCCATAGAACGATACTTAGAAATGATAGCTGCATCCATGAATATTCCAAAGGATCAAAATACAAGTAGTTTGCTGAATAGCACACATGCTATAATAAAAGAGGGTGTTGGTTGGGATTGGAGCCAAAAAACGGGTGACCCACTATTTACCAATGAAAGCCATATGAATAAACCCCTGTCGACATCCAATGATAGCTGCATCCATCAAGAATCCAAAGGGAACAAGACAAGTAGCTCGCTGAATAACCCACATGAAAGAGGGTGTTAGTAAGCATTGAAAGAAAGAATGGATCATTATTTACCAATGACAGCTGCATCCATAGAAATCCCAATGCACCAGAAGACAAGTAGCTTGCCGAATAGTCCGCATACTATAATAAAAGAGGGGGTTAGCAGGCGTTGAAGAAGAGAACGGATCACTATTTACCAATGATAGCCATATGCACGTCGACATGTTGGCATCCAATGACAGCTGCATCCATAGCAATCCCAATGCACCAGAAGGCATGCAGCTTGGTGAATATAGCACATACTATAATAATAGAAAAGGAGGTTGGTTGGGATTGGAGTCAAAACACGGGTCATCCATTATTTACCAATGACAGCCATACGCACGAAAACATGTCGACATTCAATGATAGCTTCATCCATGAAACCCAAAGAACCAGAAGACAAGTAGCTTGCTGAATAGACCACATACTACAATAAAAGAAAGAGGTTGGCAGACGTTGTAGAAACCAATGGATCATTATTTACCAATGATACCCATGTATGCACGCAAATCCTGCTGATATCCAAATCAAGCCGACTCTTTGCAATCGTCCGCTTGTTGATAAGACCCGCTACGGTGGCACCCGGGTTGTAAGTTGTAAGCGATGGAACGATACTTGATGGGCATATACAGTGAGAAGGTTGAGTAATACTTGTACCACCAAAGATAGCATACTTACATGATGCCGAAGAGCCCTTACAAGGAGCGAGAACGAACCAATGTGCTGCCCAAGACCACATGCAAACCGAAAAATCATCCATCGAAAAGCCCAAACCAGCATCCTAGCTGCGGAAGGGAGTACACTCAGTGATATAGCCGATATGAATGAGATACCAATCCTTTTTCATTGGGTATGGAATGCAGCTTGACGATGGAGTCCTTGACGAGATGCATGAATGACTTGGTAACACAAAAGATTCGAACGCGGGACTTCATTGCTTGTTGATGACATGATCCATCCATAAGACACGTATAGTTGTAGAGATCCATCAAAGGGATTGCCGATAACCAGAACCACCAGAAGATCGAAAGGATGCTGATATCAAAGATATACAATTTGTTCCTTGCTGCTGATGTGATCAATCGATAAGAGAACTCCATTTCAGGACGCCCACCGAATTGCCGATAACGAGAAAACCAGATGATGGGATAAAGCTTGATGTGGAACCAACGATATGGATGCTGTTGCTAGTTGCTGATACAATCCACTCATAAAAGACGTTCATTGGCTGACATTCTCCAGAGAAATCGCCCGTTGCTTGGCAACCAACCACCCGAGGCGCAATAAAGGTTGACACCACCAAAGACATAAACACTTCCCCATGGCTGACATGATTCACCTATAAAAGATGCACCATAAACAATTGTCCAAACTCATCCAACAATACTTAGCAATCATAGCTGTGATCTTGTAAACTCCGAAGCACCAAAAGACAAGCAGCTCTCTGCAATGGTCCCTCTAAATAATGGTAGGCGTTTCAGCAAAAGTCTCCAAAGCAGCATAATCATACATACCTGAACCATGGTGATCAAAAGGAATTGCAACCAAATACACCATCCGAAGGCAATACAATAACCAA